TAGCAAAAACCCATCAAAGGGAATCCCCATGTTCTGGGCTGCTAAAGCGCTCTGAAGGACATGAAATAGGCCCAAAGAAGCCATGTAAGCCATTAGATCTCTATGTAGCAAGTGCTCTAAGGGAACCCAGCGGGCTCTTGACAAGATCGTTCTTTACTTAGTTTTTAGCGGTGTTCATCTATGGATATTTCAGAATTTTCCTCACTTCACAAATGCATTCTACTTTGCTCAACCATGAGTCATTAATCACTTTACATCACTGTAAACTTTTTCCTTATTTGAAAGATTCCGCTACACTCCGGCAAGCCTATAAGGGTACGGTTTGTATAGCTATAAACAATCAAACTAAAGCCTACCTTCAAATAGTGTCGAGAAATATGGTTTCAATGTTGAAAATCTTAGTGATAGCCTTAAAAGATATTTTCATCTTTAATTATAAAATTTAGAGCTTAAAAAATAGTGTAGATCGAGCACATCTATGAAAATTTGAAAATTGACGGACCAAAAATGCATTACAAGATGCACTATTTTCAAAGTTTGAAATCCATATTTTTCTCATGTCCATGCATCTTGATGTCGAGATGGTCAATTTGAAGGCATTTGGGCATCCAAATAACTTCTTCTAGTGAAATTTTTAAGGTAGGCTCTAATTTGATTGTTTAGAGCCTCGGTTCAATCTAAACTTTTTCCAATTTTTAAAAAGAAAAACTTTTTCTTTTAACTCTTATTTCCAAGTCTATATTTCCTAGCCTCAAAAGATGCTAACCACTTCGACCTTAGTAGTAAAGTTTAGTGCATCAGCTTGTCTAGTATTGGTCTTCTTTCGAAGCTTACAAAATCAAATCCAATTTGGAAACCCAATTTGGAAGCCTGAATATGTTTAGGTCCATTGGCTGGGGAATATTACAAGTGGGATTTAACTTAGGGTGGTGCTTGTATAGAGCCGAGGCTCTAAACAATCAAAGTAAAGTACACTTTCAAATAGTGTCGAGAAATATGGTTTCAATACTGAAAATCTTTGTGATAGCCTTAAAATATATTTTCATCTTTAATTATAAAACTTAATTTAAAACTTGAAAATTGACTGTCCGAAAATGTGTTACATGATGCACTATTTCCAAAACTTGAAATCTATTTTTTTTCTCATGTCCATGCATCTTGATGTCGAGATGATCAATTTGACGATATTTGGGCATCAAAACAACCTCTTCTAGTGAAATTTTTTAGGTGGCCTCTAATTTGATTGCTTAGAGCCTCGGCTCTATATAAACTTTTTCTTGGTTCCATTTACTAAAGGAGCTTTGTTGGAGCATAGTATTTCATATGCTATATCGAGTTACCATTTACCAGGCCTAAGAGCACAACAAAGAATCACAAAATCAGCATTTTGTTTAGGCCATTTCTCCCAATTTCATATCAAAGGGGCTAATTTTTTTATATGTCATTCCTTATCAAGGAAGTTTCTCCCGATCTCAATTTTTTGATATGTCATTCCTTATCATTGAGAATTTGTAGAAAGTAAGCTGAAGGATTTGAGAATTTTCATATGTTGCAGGCTAGATAACCTCTACTGAATCTACAGATTTGGTATGCAAACTCTAATCTTATTGTTTGGGTGTGTTTTGTAACATTCCGAAGACGAAGGATAAAAAAGAAATCATGATCTCACAGCATTTGGTTATAGTCCTGTGGACTAGTTCGGGTCGATGTGCTAAAAAGCTTTTCAGCGCAATAGATAATGATAATGGGAAGACAAGCCTGCAATTTTAATTATGTAATAAATAAAATCTGGTTTCGCATTTTAATTATGTAATAAATAAAATCTGGTTTCTCATTTTGTATCTTCTCTAGTTGTCTTATTGTTTCTCATTTAATAAAGAAAATCTGCAATTTAAGTTGTTTTAGTTATTTAGTCGGCTGACCAGAGTGTGTCGGAGCTTTTCTCACCATGATAGAGCTCGGCCAACTAAGCTCAGGAGGTTGAAGACTGAAGTTTGACTCTGTTCTTTACCCTTCACTTCAAAAACTTTCTGATCGTTCCATATAAATCTCTTCTTTCAAGTTACCATAAAGAAAAATAGTTTTGACATGTAATAATTTCACCTCTAAATATTGTAGCTTGATCTAGTAATTTCACCTCTAAATCTTGATCTAGTAAATATTGTAGCTTGATCTAGTAATATTGTAGCTTGATCTAGTAATTTCACCTCTAAATCTTGTAGCTTGATCTAGACTTACCTTAATGGGTGTCATCACAATGGGTGGAAATATTCATCAGAGTCCGTACATTTTATTTACTCAAAACGTTTTAAAAGTAAATGAGTTTTGTACTTCACTTATTTCTCACCTTCATTCTTCAACATAAAGACCCACCTATTTTTTAGTGCTTTTTAGCTTTTTGGTTATTCAAAAAGCTAGATTATATGCATTTTTTCAAAGAATTGATTTTATTTTGTATAGCTTAGTGCCACTTGCCTTTTTGCTCATGCACCTTTGAAGTGGTGCTTTCATGTGTATGTATGCATCAAATTAGAATAATTTTTTCTTTAAAACGCGCAAAGCCTATAACTAGATACCACATGTTGGGAAGCAATGCCTTGCTGTTTATAAGCTAATCAAAGAAAAATATTTTTTTAATTAAGTACTAAATCACAAAGAAACAAAGATATGTGAATATGCTAATCAAAGAAAAATATTTTTTAATTAATTACTAAATCACAAAGAAAAATATATATGTGAATTTGCAGGAAATTAAAGATAAAAAATAACACCAAGATTGATGTGGGAAACCTTCAAAAAAGGGAAAAACTATGGAGCAACATAGAAGAATTCGAATGTTTATTCTCGAGTTAATTAATTGTAACTCGAGAATTTGGGACCACGAAATTTATAAGGTTGGCTATGTGAGATTAATTTCGTTATCTTATTCCCTTTCTAAAAAGAAAGAAGGCATTTTCTTTTGAGATACCAGCTTCAATCATTAAGAAACACCAAAACCTTTTGAGAGTCCTAGGAGATAAGCACTCAGTAATTTTTCGACATCTCAAAAAACCCCTAAAAAGAAAGGGTGTAGATGTAAGGTGCATCTTCAAATTTTATCATGGTATATAATTTTGATGTAAAATGTTATTAGGATTATCTCAAAATCTATTTTTGTATCAAATTATAGAATTTTAAATTTCAAAAATGGCTAAAATGAAGTAGATCTATAATCATATGAAAATATTGATAATGGACGGTGTAGATAATATGTTGTAAAATGCACTATTTCTAAGACTAAAAATCTTTTTATTTTTCATAGTCATACATCTCGATGTCGAGATAATCAATCATGGGGTTTTTCAACATTAAAACTTCTTTTTCTGATGGATTTTTAAAGGGGTTCTACATTATAAGGTAGCATCCTTATATAAACTTTTTCCAAAAAGAAATAGGACACCTCAACATCTTCCTTTATTTTTTGGCTAACCATCCCTGAGGCCTCATTTTATAAGAAACTAATTATTAAGTTTTTTCAAAATGACCCTTTGTCTTTTACAAAGAAAGTCCACTCCTACTAAGGCTGGATAGGGCTGGCAATGGGTCAGAAAGCCTGGCCCGGTCCTAAAATACTGGGGCCTAGGTTAGAAAATGTGGCCTAAGGGCCAGGCCAACGCCAAGCCATTGTGGACTAACGGCTAGGCGGGGCCGAGTTAGGGATAGGGCACCAATAGGGCCGGCTGACCCAGTTTTATACGGCCCAGTTTAGTAAGGGTTCAAAATTTGATGGTTTCTCCCCTCCAACAAAATCAAAGGGACATTTAGTAAAAACTAGTTGCTACATGGCCATGTGCCCTTCTCCCTTGTGACGTGATGGATGGACCTATTTTGTTGCCACTCTCTTTGGAATAGGTAAACACATATATTGAATTACTGGTGGGCACAAATCTATGGGTGTGTGGGCCACAATTGGAATCTAGACTTTTAACACAAGGTACAGTCACATGAAAACTGTGAGAAAATCATTGTACTTGATCACCTCTCGGCAGATATAGAAAATGGGCATGTTTGTGCACACAAAAGAGGGTTTCTTTTTATAAACTCAAGGGAGTTTTGACAAAAAAAAATTTATTTTTTAGTTTTATAAGCTCAAGGGATTTCTGACTGGTCTTATGTAGATAAGCAGGACCTAGAAAATTATCATTGTGCAAAGTAGAACTTGTGATAGAGTTGGCAATAAGCCGCACGTCCTGACATTTAAAAACTAGGGTCTGGGCCACAAGATGTGACGGTGAAATGAACCACTTGGGTGTGTTTTTTTTTTTCTCTCAATTTTTCTTTTTCTCCAATGGGTTTTTGGCGTCTAGATATCTTAAATCATAGATAAGAAAACAGGGTTTGAGATTGGATATTAAGGTTCAATTGCATCAATAATGTTCACTCATTGGCATGAATTGATTGATAAAGTTTCCTTAGCTCTCTTTTATTGGCCAACTTCGTGCTGCTCTCAAATGATTTATATTGTTATGCTAGGATGCAGGGATACATGTACTTTATCTGTTTTGGATACTCCTGACATTTATGTAAAATCATAAGATGTTACACTTGTCCACACGCATCAAAGTTATGGTTTGTTATGATTGAGTTAGTGTACACATGCCGAATAGAAACCAATTTGTTAATCAGGTCTTAGAGTAGGTTGGCAAAGTTTGCTGGGTTTCATGCTTGATTTCTTTGTGAAGGTTGATCTTATTTCTTGAACTTGTATTGAGTTCTGATGCGGTAGGGGTCAACCTAAACCAGCTCATCAAACTAGACAACCAATGCTGTAGCCTAGAACATTTGTAGTCCGAAAAAAGAAAAAATACATACGATAAAGAATTGGACACTATGCATATGATCTAAATCACTTTCATTAACCAACAACAGCAAGAAATGATAATCCTCGACCCAATCATGATGCGCCCTCCTAACTCAAAACCTTCCCAACCGAATGGAAAAACTAAGCAAGTGGGTCATTATTTCTACCAAACACACTGATTGTATTACACATGCAACGAATACTCAAATGCTCACAACGTGACTGTTGGATTCATAATTTTGTAATTTGAAACTAATAAGATAACACTAATATAAAACCTCTTTGGCAGCAGAAGGAAAGATTGAAATAGGGCTAGGAAATTGAGTTCCTCCAGCGCCTAAGAGCCTTCCTGTTCTGATGAGGAGCAACAGGAACCTGAGAACCGATTTCTTGCGTTTCATAAGCTGACATCTTCGCCTGAAAGATATTGGCATTGGTGAGCTTGCTAAGCTTCTTCCACCCACTGCTCCATGCCGACCCATGCTTTTGCTTGGACATTTTGTCCATCTGTCTTTGCAGATTTTCCATGTCATTTTGCAACTCCAAGTACTTGGCCTTCATGCTCTCGAGCTCGAATTTGAGTGTGTTTATGTCCTTCTTTGCAGTCGACCAACCTTCTTGGAATGATTGGGGAGTGGCCTCTAACAGGGCCTTTCGGGTAGGGATGAGTGGCTGATATTGAGGGTCGACTTGGTCCTTAATGGTGTTGGTGGCTATGGCATTACTGATCTTGAGCTGCTCAGAGAAAAGGACTTGGACTACAATCCTCAGTGGGAGCCGCTCATTTTGAGCAGCATGCATGCAGGCATCGATGGAGAGCTTTTGACAGTCCATTACACGGCATAATCTCTTCCTCTCGTGCTCGGACAAGGTCGGGTGAGCCTGCCAAACAACAGAAATTATAAGAGCTTCTTCTTTACTGGGAAGGATATTATAGTCCAATAGATCATGGAAGACCATAGCTCATCAGGTCATCCCCATATTCGAGGTCATGTCCTGTTTTGGTGGGTCCCACTCTCTCCGCATGCTCGTCCACCATTTGATTGGACAGTGATGACCCCCATGGACCAGGGTTTTTCATAGTCCATTAGATTATAACTTTTCCTTTCCTTTGAAGCAAAGATGGAGGCATCTCAAAATTCCCACTTGGGAATGTACCATCAATGAAGCCATGCAAGATGAGAGTAGGATGTTTAGGCGCACATGTTCTATATTAGTTGCTTGGATGAAGAGCAACTCAGTATTTGTGGGCTTCATCATGCTATATGTGAGTGCATGTGCTGTAAGCCTACAAGCAACTGAATCTTTGGCCTCGTATAGGAGGGTTTATGCTAGGAGGTTCTGATCATGCACTGGACTAACTAACCCTAACACTCTTAATGGGTTCATGGCCATTGCACACCCAATTTCAACGAGAATGCCAGTAATTCATTCTAATTTCATCTAGAACTTGGAGGATTCATGTTCAATATTTTCAAAGACATTGAAATTGCTTCCCAAAGTTCAGTTATGACAATTTAAACATAAAGTTATCCAAGCCCATCGTTTATTGATCCTTTACTATAATTAGTTTTCCATTTTCAAATTCAGACTAAAACTCAATGTGGTATGAAATTTTAATTCTTGATTAGGATGAGTGTCCTGAATATGGATTGCAGAAGCAGTAAGACAAAACACAAACAGTTTCAGTTCATAGGACACTAAAAGGCTCATTTTCAGCACCAAAAACGAATTTTTTCTGTCACCATGTTGTACGATTTAGAATCAGGAGAGCTTACAGGGCTAATGACATAGAATATGCGGAGCCTTGGAATAAAGTGATTTGTACCTTGAGATAAGAATCAATGGCTCTATAGAGACCATCATCACATGTTCTGGCTGATTCTGGCAATGCCTCTGCAAGAACTTGAAACTTGGTAAGAGAAAGGTTCCGATCCCTTGAAACCTCTGTTAGGTAACTGTCCACAAGCCTGGCAACCCTCATCTTTGCATTAGGCACATTTGGGTGAGACCTTGGAGTCTCTGGGAAGGACTGCCTGCCAGGGCTAGAAGGCTCTGTTTGCTCTTGAACCAGGAAATGCTCTAAAAGCCTTTGAACCAAGTCAACATCATACAAAGTCTCTCCCTTACTGTAAGAAGGTATTAAAAGATCTGGCAAATTGGCTTGCTCAAACTGCATGCCCACCCTCTTCTCGAGCTCGGTCACAAGTGCAGGTGCCACCTTAAGCATATTGGCCATCCTCAAAAGCCGAAGAAGGAAGCTACAAGACACAGTATCTTTCTGAGGGGGAATAATACTGATCAAACTCTCAATTATCATTCTCTGTTCTCTCATTTGTATGTTGGGCAACTCTTCTTTCCCCCCTGCAACTATAATATGGAGCCCCCCTTTCCAGCCATTAGAATCCCTGTTATTCTCTTCCCCATTTCCTTCTTTCCCTATACCCGGAAGCCACTTCGAAGCATAATGCATGATCGCAGCTCCAATAAGCTCAAATCTCATCCCCTTTACTTTGATTGCAGTGACCACTCTCACAAAGTGATCGATTCTGAGTATTGATACATCTTCAAACCACCAATCCGGGGGCACTTGCTGGTTTTTACTTGGGCTCGATTCCTTCATTTCATTCCACCTAGGACTCGAGCCCCTACTGTGTTTTCCAGTATAGGCCCATCTGACCCCTCTTGGGTTTGCACACGCCTTCCAAGCTATGGACTCACTGCATCGCCGCACTATTTGCAGGTTCTCAGCCCATGGTGATAGTTGCTCACAACTTTTCAATACAAGAATTGAATCTCTCCATGAAGAAAGCACCACGTAGCTTAGAAAAGCTTCAGTTTTGAATATGAGATTACCTTCTTCTAAGTCCTCTGTCATTTCTAAATATTCGGCTGCACATCTTAGTCCTGAAATATTTGCAGCTGTGAGATCAATTGCTACGCCATAACAAAATTTCGCAGCAAGCTCAAAGGCCTCTGGTCCACCAGGGAGTTCATTGAGGTCAACTCGGTCCAATTCTGAGTCTCTTGATTCATATATGATCCGGTTAAGCCGTCCACTTCGTGAGAGCAGAGGGTACTTTGACATGGAAAGAACCCATAAGAAATTTTATAAATTCTACTCGGCAGTTATACGGAACTTATTTTGTTTCTCAGGCCTTTATGGCTGGAATGGATAAAGTTAAGGAAAAAATTATTTGATATGGAAAGAACTCATGAGAAAGTTTGTAAGTTTTTCTGACAGCTAAAAAGGAATTTGGCTTTATTTGTGTACTTTCATGAATGAAATTCATATGAATATTATGGCGGCTCACGAGAAATACCTTGTGTAAGTTGAAATGGACATCTCCAATTCGAACCAGTAGATCACTAGGAATATCAGTTGCAACGTACCTGTGGAACATCCATTGATCATAGCTCAGAATCTCTTGTTTCAAAGAAAGTCAGTGTTGTAAAATAAAATTCGGAGTTCCTATGTTTCATAGAAATTTGAGCGGAATCATAGCTCAGAAATTCGGAGTTCATACAACAGTTGGGTGTTTTGTTTCTGTTTTTTTCTTTTTCAATGATAATGGTTTTGTTAAATATGTGGCAGATAAATGGTTCTTCATTTAAAGTTCATATTGTTGTAAAATTTGAAGGAGAATAGCATAAATAACTAAAGAAGAAATCAAGAAACAGGGGAGAACTCTAAACATATATTCAAGAGTAGTGGAGTTCATGGAGAATTTTATTACCAAGTGTTTTCCCTTCGCTCGAAGCCATCAGTTTTCAAACTATGATTGCTCGAACTGAGAACACCTGTATCATAATTCCTTCCTCCTCCTGACTCGCTTTCGGAATCCCACATGATCAAAACCACAAAATTAAGACCCCCACCCCAAAAAAAGAACCCCACTTAAAAGAAGAGTTTTGAAATTCGATCAAAGTTGTTTATGCTAAAAGAAGCAGCCATGGATGAAGCCTGGTTCTAGAGAGAGAAGAAAGACATGGCATTGTTGTGGGAGCTTTGAATACATGAGCACCACATGGGGTGCTTGGATCTTTCCACCTAATGCCAGCTCCCGCGATTGTCGGGTGTCTGAGAGGGTCCAGTTAACACGGAGTGTTAGATCATGGGCAAGTCACTTGTGGTATTTGACTACATTCTCTGTTCATTATTCCATAAATGGGCAATCAATGGTTATCCCTTCCAATGGGCAATCAATGGTTATCCCTTCCTGTCTCTCTCTCTCTCTACTGTTCCTTGATCTGTTGCTCATCATGGAGGGGACTGGACATGGTGATATCATTTCCTCTCTCTACAGGGGAGGCGCACTCACTAGAGACTGTAACTGGCATTTACTAGTGTGAAGTGCCAAATCAGTTTCTTCTCCTTATTTTCATCTTCTTCCTTTTGAAGGCATAAACATCAGTTTCTTTTAGTTCTAGCGACCACCGTGGTTGTCAATTTGGAAATGACAAAAAGCCATTCAAGATTTTATTCGGATCATTTAACCCCACCAAAACTCTCTCTCACAGGGCTTCTCCCTTTTTTCTTTTCTTTTTTTTCTTGTTTTGCTTTCTTTAGCTTTTTTCATTTGTTCAGTTCCCTTTTCTTTTTTCTTCGTGTTTGATAGTGGAATTGGGCTCTTTTTCCCCTCTCTCACTCGCTCTTTCCTACACTCATTTTCATCATAGATTTATTTCAATTATTTGAGATTGGTTACATGAATCTTGTTTCATTATTTTACTCTATTAAAAATAGTAACATTACTACTTCAATCCATATCATTTAGAGTTTTTTTTTTACCCTTTTAGTGCTTTCTACTTGAATTGAATTGCACCTCTTTTTCTTTTCTACCATCTTCTTTTATAATAAAAAAATTAAAAATTAAAATTTGGGTGGCAAATACATCCATACCCATTTTGAAATGGTTAAGGGTTTTTGAAAGTATTAGAGGGAATGAAAGCCAAAACGTGCAAGTCATGAGAGTGCCGCCACCACGACCCCAGCCCCTTTTTTGCCATCAACCTTTATAAATCTAGATATATTTTCTCATTTTTTCCATCAATATTATTTTGGGTATTTCTCTTGCTTTTAAAAAACATTCCACTTTAACCGAATCACTCATTTTGTTCTTATCGACTTTATTTTCTCTCTTTTTCTCTTTCCCCATGTTGGTGAAGTTTGCTTTCTCTCTCTCGGGAGCTACCCTTGGATTTTCTCATTTCCCTTTGCTCCAAGACTGTAAAATGAGGATTAAAATTTTCCCATTTCTTCTCTCCCTTTGCAAAAGGAACGTAAGTGCATGATGAGAGAAGTGGGTTAAATTCACATTGAAAAAAGAGATAGAGAAATAAAATAATGCAGGGACCGACAGGTACAAGTTTACAAGGGATGGGAAGCAATGTGGAATCCCAAGCACTAAAAGACCGAAAGTGAGAATGTGGATTTCGAGGTTGAGACGATTGGTGTGGATTCTTCCACGTGGCACCCGATTATCCTCAGAGGGGGGTTCCAGTTGGTTGGTGGGGTTAAGTGAACACATGTGTGAATGACTCACACGTGGTTTTGTTTATATGATACTTTTTATTTTTTTTTTTTTTCGGTTTGGTTAGAAAAATTAAACAATTTGATATTTCAATCTATTTGATTTTTTTTAAAAAAAATTTATTTTAAACAAATTAAATATAAAATATTTATATACATAATATATACAAATAGTAGAAAAAACTAACACTAAAACTAAAAAAATAAAAAATACTTTTATATAGCTTATTTTCTTCTGGCCGAAAAAAACCCAAATCTGTATGAAACAACCCGAAATGGTCTGAATCTAGCTAAAATTGTAACACCAATTTACGTTTTACTTTGATTTATGCCTAAAATCCGAAAACTTCGAGCTCTTCATCCCAAACCAAATAAATTTGATAAACATTTATTTAGCCCCATGACTCTCTCTCTCCATGTTGCTTTCGTTATTTATTGGAGGAATGCGATCCATAGACCGAATTCAATTATGGGGATCAATTCTATAATGATTTGATCTAAGTATTTTGGAGTTTTGTTTGTACATCCACATCTCTCCAACATTTGAGAGAGATAAATTTAGGAAAGTACAGGGGGCCATCAACCATTATCAAATGCACATTTGGTACGATGCGAAAATATTTTCATTTAAGTATTTTTACATGATAGAATTTGCCCAAGTGATATAGTGTGTGAGTTTTTTCACACAAATTAGCTGTTAATTAGTGTAAAAAATGTATTGAGATCGATTGATGTGAAAAACTTTCACACCTAATCACCTACAAAAATTTTCATGTATAAATACTTACACGAAAATATTCTATACATACCATAAGACCCACCCTCTACCCTCTCCATTTGTGTCCAACCCCCTTGTGGATGGTGATAACCTCGTAGTTGTAGAGCTATGATAATCCATTTTCTTAATATAAAAACATGCTATGGTTGCTTCCATGATGCACATCATACATCATAATTATATGCATTGGAAGAACTTCTATAAGTCGGCATCCTCACAGTGACAATATAGGCCGACATGATCACAGCGACTGTATAAGTTTTGCTCAAGAACATAAAACTGGCGTGGATTCCGTGGGCTAAAATTTGGGAAAATTACAACAAACCGCAAGACCAGATTTTATATGCAGCTTACCCACAACCAAACTTTTTCTCTCACTTTTTTTTTCCCAAATCAAATTTTTTTTTCAAAACAAATTTTCTATGTAAATACCCTTAAAGGGAATAAGTTATTTTTTTAAATAGAAATACCTTTCCCGTACACAAAAATCATTTTAGCCAGATTTGACGTTGACTTTTAGACCCCAATAGCACATTGCTCGAGCGCACAAGTACCAGACCGCCGTAAAACAACTACTAGACCGAAACTGAGTATAGTCCGACTGTCCTTTACATAGTGTTGAAGCCATGAAATCCAGTAACATCTACTACCGGACTGCCCTTTGCAACTACCAGACAGCACTTTACACAGTTCTGAAGCTACCGGATCGTACTTTACACAGTGCCGAAGCACTATTGTCGGACCGCATTTTACACTGCATCGGAGTCCTATTGCCAGACTGCACTTTACACATTGCTTGAGCCCTAGACCACACTTACATAGGACCAGAGCCCCTATTTTGGTGAGATAGAGGAGAGAGGTGTGGGTAAGGTAAAAGTAAGGGAGGGTAGTTTAGGCATTTTGTATTTTTATTTTTGGTTAGGGGTATTTGCATAGAAAGTGTATTTTGGGGAAAAAAGTGATAGAAAGACTTAACGTGGGGCAAGTTCCATAGAAAGTATAGTCTTGAGGGTTTTTTGTAATTTTTTCGAAATTTTTTTACATTAATTTATATTTGAAAATAATAAATAATAAATAAAATTAAGTTTGACTTCATGAAGCCCCAAATCTTTAGTAAACCAAATTAACTACTTTATTCAGAAAAAATGGCAATATTTATTTTTTTTCCCCTTTTTTTTTGGTACAAATTCAATTCTTTCTTTCGATATAATAGATTAGATCAATGATTAGAAAATTGCTAATCCGACTCAAAATAGCATTAGTCAAATCGAAATCCATAGGTGGGCAAGTCCCATTTGAGGAAACCAGCTCTTTAGCATATATGGTCTTTTTCCTCCCCCTAGGGGCTCTCAGGATACACACGTGGGTACATAGCTCCTTTGCCGAAAGATGTCATTGTCCCTAAAGATTGCAATTGCCTAAAAATCTATTTTCATTAATAATCATGAAATTTAAAGCTTGAAAAATGGTATAAATCGAACAGATCTATCATCATCATGACTTGAGCCTTATCCCAAATAACCTACCCAAAAGACCAAAAACAATGAGAAGAAAGAAATACTCTTTGTACAAACTAAATGTACTTCAATATAAACTTTTTTACAGTTTTAGAATAAAAATACATTTGGCTTATATCTAGGCTGAAATTTATTTTTTAGGATAATGAAAAATAAAGTGAGATATCCTGTGGAATTGTTATCATTGTTAATTATTATTTTGGAAGATTTATTAGATGAAAACTATCAACTATTTAATATTTCCCCATTATCAAAGCACACCTAAAATATTAATTATTCTAAATCATAATTATGTCTCCTTTTATTTACAAAATTCACTAAAAAAATGAGAATGTCTACAAAGAGATTGTTTATCTTTTGTTTATAGAGGTTACAATCATTCCTACTCATTAGAAGTCTCTAAAAAAAAATAGACGAGATATTAATACAGTTCATCTCTTGGGTGTTTTTGATAAATTTCTCTGTTTATTTTTAATATAAGAGAAATGTGGTATGTTTATTGTCACATGGATAAATAAGGAGGGTTGGTAAATTTATGCTTACAAAAAAATGAGCTCGAAGAATTCAATTAAGAAGAGAATTCAATTATGTTTTTTAATTTTTTTTGTTTTTTTTTGTTTTTTGTCCACACCGTCGTTTTTCTCAATCCAAAAGAATGTTAATACTCCATACGTATCGGAAATTTGGCCGAAAGCATAAATCTAGTGTGTCTAGAAGGGTTGATGGGTGAGAATAGACAGGATTATTTTTTTTTTTACCATTTTTAAATACTGACATTCTTAGAAATAATTCGGAAGTGCCTAGACCCTATCCATCCCTATATAAATAGTATCTCTTAGGATCTCGAACCGTCCTTGAAATGGGTCCTCACTTTTTCGACGCATTCCATTATGGGAAGAAGGAAAACCACTGGGAGAATGGAAAGGTGCTCGAGTGCTTCGGTTCTTGTGCTTTGCACGTGCAGCTAGCATATTTGGAAAAGGATCTCAATGATTTTACCCTTTGGTCCCACCAATATTAGACTTACATTCCATCAATAGGTTATAAATCAAACTCCAATCAAGGCGGCTTGAACAGGCTGCACCGGCGGATGGTGATAAGTGCCTTGAATGGAGTCAGGTCTGGATCGGCTATGGGACAGATCGCCCCCTGGCCGAGCCAGTTTTATAGGAGGTTCATGACGAGAGGTTTGGTTGTGTCGGCTTGCCGACGTAGTTGAATTGACATGACTGTAGTAATCAAGGATAGATAAGACTCCTTAATTTTGGCTTGAGCGGCGACTCAAGACCCTAGGTGGGTCATGTGGCTCATGGAGGCCAACACACCTCAAATGGATTATAGGAGCCAAAAAGGTTTAAAGGTTGCAACCTTACATTGTTGAAGTAAGGTGCACCTCTAAAAATCCATTAAATAAGAGTGTTCTCGTAATTGAAGAACATCAAAGTGATCATATCGACCTCCATATGTGTAGTATAACGAGGAACAAAAAAAAAAATTTTACGTTCAAAAAATAGTGCATCTTGCAACAAATTATCTAAACCATCTGTTTACAAGATTTTCAAGTGTTTAAAGATGTGCTCGATCCATATCACT